CCATGGTAATCGCTTTGGTGGTCTGACAAAAACAAATCTCAGCGCTCTATCAGTGCACGGGTCCCACGGACACGGAGGGCATGTGTGACAACTGCCGGGGCTATCATGAGAGCGACGAAGAGGAGCCCGGACCTGCCCAAGACGTCGCCCGGGAGATTGCCCGCGTGATCCTGCGCATCGGTACAATAACCAACCAACTGACCGACCGACCCACCTTTAATGTGGCTGCAGTGCTGTGTCCACGTCATCAACGAGGCAAGTACTCACTCTTGCCTACGGTGATGGGAAACAAACAGCCGAATTCGTCGAGAGCCGGGCGGACAGAGAGGGCGACAAAGGTCCCATCAGCAACGTCACCATGCTGGTAGACATCTTCTGCGGCAGCCGCAAGGGATCTCTCAAGAAAGCCGGCTTCAACGCAACCACTGACCACGGATACGGTATGCTTCACATCGACTCGACACGACACGACACGACACGACACGACCAACGACACGACACGACCAACGACACGACACGACCAACGACACGCAATGTTATGTTTGCTGCTGGCCATGCGCGACTCAAGCTCACTCATCGTCTGGTTTCTTTGCCACACGTCAGCCCATCGCATGGGGAACAAACCGAAGTCAGAGTTCGTGCGCGACATTGTCGGTCAGATGCTGCAGAAGGGTGCGTGCCCCTTCCCTTCTCGCCCACTTCTGCGCTCGTGTGTCGCTGATGGGCCTTCACATCACCCCCCCCTCTAAAGGGATCCTGCGCGAGGACACTTGGCACGGCCGCGCGTTTATCTCGGTTCAGAACTACTCAACACCAGACACGACACATGACACGACACGACACGACATGACACGACACGACATGACACAACATGACACGACACGACACGACACCAGACACGACACGACACGACACGACACCAGACACGACACCAGACACGACACGACACGACACCAGACACCAGACACGACATCAGATACGACACGACACCAAACACGACACAATACCAAACACAACACAACACCACCCACAACACCACACACAACACATGGCGTGACGCTCACTCTGTCGTCGGATGAACAGGCGGGAGAGCATGTGGCCAGATTGGGGACTACACGCTTCCGGACCACAGTCAAGGCATCTTCCACCCTCCCCATTTCCCGCCTTTCTCTTCCCCTTGTGCGCTCGTTGCTCGTCATGGCATTGCAGGAGAGCTGACGCACACGCACACACGCACGCACGCACGCACACACGCACACACGCACACACACGCACGCACACGCACACACACGCACACACGGGCTTCAAAAGGCAACTGAAGACATGGCCAGGGCTACCAGTACGAGCCAGAAGAAGACAAAGAAGAGCACTACCACCACCGCCAGCAGCAGCAAGTCGAGCAAAAGCGACAAAGGTAAGGAAAAGGTGACCAATCTCGACGACTTCGACGAGGCCGAGCCGAAGCCAGAGGAGGAACGGCAAGAAAGAGAGAAGCGAAAGAAGAAAAGAAAAGAGGAGAAGGAAAGGAACAAGGAGAAGAAGTACCCAAAGATGAAGACGACGACGGCGAAGAAGAAGGGCGCCCACAGCGCATCGGATCTGGGTCTGGAGGCCGACCACAGTGACGGAGACGAGCCCCGGCTCAAGCGCCGCAGGACGAGCGAGCCGGCGGTGGGGAGTGGAAGGGGCACGACGGCCTCGTCGTCGTCCACTGCGACGACCAGGAGTCCACCGAGGCCGCGCGCCGCCAAGGTGGCCGCTAGCAAGGCGCTCATTAAGAAGGAGCCCGAATACCCCGTGGAGGCCGTCGAGGACGAATGCACCGTACGTCACTCACTGTGGCACGATCGTGTCGTTGGTCGTGTGCGTGTGCGGTGGTGCGTGTGCGGTGGTGCGTGTGCGGTGGTGCGTGTGCGGTGGTGCGTGTGCGTGTGCGTGTCCAGTATCTGATAGACTTGTACACTTTGCAGAAGAGGGGTAAGGTGTACGTCAAGTGGGAAGGATACGACCACGACCAAAACACGTGGGAGAGAAAGAAAGGCTTCGTGGCGACGGCGCCGGTGCCCTACAGGGAGTTCCTACGCCGCATGCAACTCGAGGGCAGGACCATCACCCGCGACGGCCCGTGCGAGTGCCGACTGTGCCGCGAGCAGCACAAGCTGAAGCCGATGACGGTGAAGAACGAAAACGAGAAGAACGACGACAACAACAAGAACGAGAACGAGAAGAACGAGGACAAAAAGGAGCAGAAGAGAAACAAGAACAAGAAGAGGAGGAAGCGGTACGATGCCTCGAGCTCAGACGACTCGAGCGCGAGCGACAAGGGTGATTCCGACTTCTACGAACAGGATGACGACTCCGATGCGTTGGCAGAGGACAGGGCGTGGAAGAGCCACAACGCCCGCGCCGTCCGGGCTGAGGCCAGAACTGTGCTGGTGGTCATCGACGACGACGACGACGAAGACAACGACGACAACAGCGACGTCGGCATCAAGGAGAACAGTGGCGGCGAGGGGGCATGAGCTGCTGCGAGGCCAGCCCCCGAAGAGGTGAGGAGAAGGCCAGGACCGGGGACCCTGGTAGAGCCGATCCTTCTGTTCGACGTCTGACACACAACTTCAAGTTTTTAATGTACACACGTTTGTGTTATTCATTCGCACTTTCTTTGTTCTTCAGCAGCACTTCGAGTGAACCACACTCGACCCTATTTGTACACGACACGACACGACACGACACGACCTACAACACGACCAACGACACGACACGACACGACACGACGT